ACACACACACACACACACACACACACACACACACACACACCACCACACACCCGGCCTCGCACCCGCATCACGTCATGCGAGTGTCAATGAACAGGAATCTATACGCTGCTCCTCGTGGAAAAGCTTTATTCGCAACCGGTCCACCGCCACTAAACGAAACATTCCTTAACACTGATGCGACGCATTTCTGACTTTCCGCGCGGAATGGTCTTGTCTTCGTGCCGTCTGTCCGCTACCCACGCCTCGCTGACTTCAAATCTTCTTTCGTGCATTTCGCAGAACCCAATAGGTGGAGATGTTCGACAACAGACAGGCGGAAGTGACGCGTTAAGAACGGCAAATCACATATAAAAGAGATAATGCAAATATTTCGCATGATAGCACGGCAGTCGTCTGTGTAGTAACCAACGGTTGAAAATTTTCACCAGCAAACACAATTATAGATACGATACGATACGATACGAATAGAACGATACAATCCACGACGACGGTCCCCATGGCGCGATACCTACTGTACGCCACTAATTTGCACATGTGCAATTTCGATGGCACAAAAAAAAAGTTTAAGAAAATTAAGTTTGAGAAGATTAAAAAAGAAGATTAATTAATTAGCCTGAGAAGGCTATTCATGCATTAGATGTGCGCTTAAGATAATCACATGCACGCTTACTTATACATGCTGAAACAGATTTTAAATGGACTGCCATTTTTTATTGTTATATTATTACTATTGTTATTATTAATACCACCATCATCATCATCATCATCATCATCATCATCATCATCATCATCATCATCATCATCATCATCATCATCATCGTCACCATCATCATCATCATCATCATCATCATCATCATCATCATCATCATCATCACCATCATCATCATATTATTATTATTGTTGTTATTATTATTATTATTTACTGCTTTTATTGTTCTTGTTACTGTTTTACGGTGGCTTTGTTGTGGTTTTTCCCAAAACGAATAATTTGAAACAAATTGAGAGAGATGGGGTGAGGGAGGGAGGGAGGTAGGGAGGGATGGAAGAAGGGAGGGAGGAAGGGAAGGAGGGAGGAAGGAAAGATGGGTAGGGAGGGCGAGAGGGAGAGAAAGGAAAAGAGAAGTACAATAAGAGAAAAAGGGAGAGAGCACGAGAGGGAGGGAGAGATGGAAAGAGAGAGAGAGAGAGGGGGAGGGAGGGAGAGAGTGAGAAAGATAGAGAGAGAGAGAGTGAAGTACAATAAGACAGAACGGGAGAGAGCACGAGAGAGAGGGTGAGAGAGAGAGAGAGAAAGAGCAAGCAAGCTAGCTAGCTAGCAGCTAGGGAAGAGCCACATTCTTAACGAGAACTCGCACATACACACACACGCGGCCCTTTGCTATAAGTTATAACTCTTTAGGCTCTCTTCAGGCATTTCGACACAATGGGCACCCACTTTCCTCTAACCACTCTATATAAAATTATTAAAATTTCACAACTTTTCGCGCAAAGGCTCGCATGCGTGTAAACATCCCTGCCGTTCATTTCCAACAGCCGATGCTTGAAACCAAATGCTTGAAACTTATCGGTGCTGCCACCTATCGATCTTAAAAAGCAAAAAAGCGTCTACAAAACGAAATTGGTCAGAGCCGTTGTTCGACTGATGGATCAATATTGATATCGTCATCAAGAGCTATTGCAATAAACAACAACAAATAGTGACAACAGTAACAACAACAGCAAAAACATCAAAGCAGCAACGACAACAACAACAAATGCAGCAGCAACAACAACAGCAAAAAAATAACAAAACCAACAACATCAACAGCTGCCAAAGAACCAACAATAACGTGAACACAAACAGCAACAATGACAAACGCACAAAACATGAGGACAGCGCGCGAGCAGCGTGGCTCTGCGACATCGAATATCAAGCAGAAAGAGAGAAGGGGATGGAGCAGAGAGAGAAGGGGAGGGAGGGAGGGAGGGAGAGCGAGAGAGAGAGAGAGAGAGAGGGAGGGAGAGAGAGAGAGAGAGAGAGAGAGAGAGAGAGAGAGAGAGAGAGAAAGAGAGAGAGAGAGCGCGCGCGAGAGAGAGAGAGAGAGAGATCATGAGAGAACCGCACCTTTTACATGGAATGCAGCACGCGGTTGAAGCTGTTGTAGGCAGACTCCAAGTCGAAGAGCAGCTGCCTCACCTGCTGATCAGACAGCTCGTCATGCGCCTGCATCTGATTCATCGTGTCCAACCTGTGCAGGTTAACGACAATGACCAGGTGCTACCTTGCACACTAAAAACACGCACGACCACAGCGCAGGTAACGACAATGACCAGTTGCTACCTTGCACACTAAAAACACGCACGACCACAGCGCAGGTAACGACAATGACCAGTTGCTACCTTGCACACTAAAAACACGCACGACCACAGCGCAGGTAACGACAATGACCAGGTGCTACCTTGCACACTAAAAACACGCACGACCACAGCGCAGGTAACGACAATGACCAGGTGCTACCTTGCACACTAAAAACACGCACGACCACAGCGCAGGTAACGACAATGACCAGGTGCTACCTTGCACACTAAAAACACGCACGACCACAGCGCAGGTAACGACAATGACCAGTTGCTACCTTGCACACTAAAAAAACGCACGACCACAGCGCAGGTAACGACAATGACCAGGTGCTACCTTGCACACTAAAAACACGCACGACCACCACAGTTCAGATACGCCCTTGCATTATTCGCCGAGTCCCAAGGTTTTACTCAAAGGGGAAGGTGGAACTCGATAACGCTTGCTGTGTGCTATCATGGCAGGATGTGTGCAGAATATGTGAAGACATTCCCCAACAACAGTGATGGATGGCAAAACGTTTAGCTACGCATAGAAGAATAGTAGTCAGAAACAGAACATGTGTGGAAAAATTAATGTCCTGATAATGATACATTCCTGAGCAATTACTTTTAAAGTACGAATAATACTTTCATGTCACAAATGTTATTATTGTTATAATCTACAGAACACAGAACAGAGAATCACTCTAGTAAATGCACTACAATAAGTTAGTAACTACAATATTAAGGTTGTGAATTTATTAAACGTTTGACCAAAGCAAACAGTTGCCACAACTTGAACCCTGAGATATCAAATTAAGTGAATCTAGTTGTTAGCAAATTTTATATATGATAAAATTGTGCCTTGATGTGCCATCACTGGTAACAGCTGAGCCAAGGGTTTGCAGCTTTCTCTGTGGCACTAAGTCAGTACATTAAGTAAAGAATACTATGTGCACTACCAGTATTTACCATGTCTGCGTCTTGGCTTTTCCTTCGAAGTCGGAAGGCAGGATGCTTAGCCTATTCATAGTCTCCATGAGATCTTTTAGATCAGGATATATCTACAATGGTAGACAAACCAACGTGTGTATTCAAGCTGAACATTTTTACATGAATGATGCTATGGTAGTCATTAATATTTTAAATGCAGATGGCAACTTATCGCTATATAGAGTTTAAACAATAAAGAAATCAATTCTGTGCTGTCATTATATCCTAATATTCTGTCATTATGCTGTATTGATAGGAATTCTAATCATACCATACTATGGATAGTGTGTGCATTCCTACCTCATCCATAGCCCTGATTTCCAGGCGCAGTTTATCCATGATCGTGATGAAGAGCTGTGGAGAAAGTATCATCAATGAAGTAGTACCTAGACACGCACATACGTTGCAAAAATATTAAAAATAACATGCAAAACAAAAAACATGCCCATTTCACTGTTAGACGCAATATCTTTTCATCAAAACAAATGAGCAACATACTGATACGATGTCGGCGATACATTTGCTGGTGTTTCCTTGGTCATCCTTTATAGTGATTGGCCGGTCTTCTTTTATTCTTTCTAATGCCGCTGGACAGTCCATCTGTAGAAACACAGCGTGTTAAAGTGATTACGTGACCGTAAATAGTAAAAGTAAAAAAAATATTTCCACTTAGTCACAAAATGTAAGTAATTCCGTTCACTTTTTATGGTTAAAAAGCTGCATTATGCTTCCTAGTTTACTATATTGTTCGATGTAAACATACACTCGTGACTCATACATAGCCCATAGCAAGCAATTAATGTCAGGATCATAATATCAGATCGTCCAGGTTTTTTGGATTTTTAACTAGTTGAGAAACAATCTTAGCACGTATGAATTTGACGACACATTTAGTCCCGTTAGTACTTACTTTTAATGTCAAAATATGGCAACAAAAATTGTACAAATATACACCATAGAAAATTCATGACGTAGTCAATTTAACACTAACAATGAGAAACTCGTGAGTCTGCTAAACAGTTTTACTCTCGTGTTTCATGACATCATGATGGATGACAGCATAGGTTACTATATAATCATAATGGTGACTTACTCTGTATTTTCTCATGAAGGTTTCAACGGTAGGGAAGTCATCACACTGCACTTGCTTGAACGCAGCCTTGTACTGCACCAGTAACTTTGAACATGCTGCAGTGTACCTGAAAGATGAAAATACCCTTAGTGAGCCATACATGTCTGTATGTCCTATTTGACATCCGAAGTCATCAGAGTCATACATTTGTTTAAACAATGCATCCGATTAAATTTTCTATATGAAATATGTAAGTTTCGTTAATACTGTTTCCTGCTTACTCCTTTGGTGTCACGGCGTCCTTAATGTATGCTTTTTCCAGGCACTGTATGGTGTTGATTACAGAGTACAGGTCAGCCATATTGTCTACCTTTTCTCGTTCCCTTGCATTTCGGTAAAGGCGCACTTCCTAGTAAGGGAATGCAAACTTGCATCACATGCGGTGTTGCAAAAAACACTATCAATTGATCTTGTAATCTGACAATTGCAATAACAAATCTGTACATAGCATAATTATCAAATCTACCAACCTCATAAAGTTCTGGACGATTCATTGCACCGGATCCTGCAAAAGTTAACATTGTTGAAAGTACACTATGCAATTTGGCATTGAACCTCCAACTACACCAGGGTAAAAAAAATACACGGGAGCGATTCGCGATTCGCTCTTCAAATCTCTGAAATCGCGCCCGTGAGGCTCAAAATAGCTCCCGTAAAATTTTTGACAAGAGCTATTTTTCCCACAGACTTGAAAAACAGCTCCCGTGAGAAAAAAAGTAATTTTTCCCATTGTGGCTAACGGGGCTTATGGGGGGGGGCGGCAAGCCGAATCTTGAATGTCTCAGAGGCTGGAGGTACGGCAGTCCATTCGCTTTCATACTTAACGAGACAAAAGATGGCGGCGGGTGGCGCCAGATTTCAAAATAACGCATTGGGAAATAAATTCACGATTTGAGAGTTCAGATGAGCTAGAACCCTAACCCTAACGCCAAAAAGGGGCTTCAACGAACGATGGCTGCCTTACCTCCAGCCACTGCGAATTTTTCCCCTGAACTACACATTCCCTAGCAAGTATGCTCACTGTAGGTGTACGTAGCCTTTTTGTTGCAAGGTTTATCCACTTTAACTATCACTTATTCTAGCTTCAATTTTGCCCGTACAACACTCGTTTTCTCGTTATACACTCAATGAATTAATACTATCTTTTGATTTTATTACACTTATAAGTTATAATACTTATATTATTAATCGATGTTGCAGGTGTAGTGTTAGTCCGTCCGAGTTTCCTCTGACCAAAACCTACACCAAATCCACCAAACATCGTCGGTGTGAGCATTGGTCAGAGGAAACTCAGACTAGTGAGTAGTGTAGCGACTTAGTAATTAATACTAATAGTAATACTAATACTTATGCTGAGAGGGTCTATGTCCCCCGGGGTACCGTACTGCGAACGTATGCTGGTACGGTCCGTATACCGAACGTACCCTGGTACTATCTAAATGGCCGACCGTACCGTCGCCTACTTCCACTAAACGAGGAGTCTAGGGAGGTCGCTACGTCCTACCCCTAACCCCTAATCCAACCCTTAAACCATATCAAATAGTGACCAGGGTACGTCGGTAACCTGACCGTACCCAGGGTACGTCCGGAGTACCCTGGGAACATAGACCCTTATGAGCAATACTATAGTAAAGTAATAATGTGCGCACAGGAGTCATAAATAAAATATGGCCGTGCTGACGCAACTGGGTCCGGATTGAGGAGCCGCTAGGCTACGCGTCCCGGAATCCATCTCACACAGTGAGCTTGCGACACATACAATGCATGATTGCGCAATGGGACCTCTGCTGGATTGCCAGTGTGTTGTGTGTGTGTGTGTGTGTGTGTGTGTGTGTGTCCGGTGAGAGAGAGAGAGAGAGAGAGAGACGAGAGAGAGAGAGAAAGAGAGAGAGAGAGAGGCGAGAGCGAGAGCGAGAGCGAGAGGCGAGAGAGAGAGAGAGAGAGAGAGAGAGAGAGAGAGAGAGAGATGAGAGAGAGAGAGAGACGAGGAGAGAGAGAGCAGAGAGAGAGAGAGAAGAGAGGAGAGAGAGAGAGACGAGAGAGAGAGACGATGGAGAGAGAGAGAGAGAGAGAGAGAGCAGAGGAGGAGAAGGAATGTGTATGTGTGGTGTGTATGCATGAGAGAGAGAGAGAAAGAGAGCGAGGCACGGCCCACCTGACAAGCGCTTTCAATAAAATTATAATGCTTACTTAAATACGAAATCATATTTACTACCAAATTCTTAATGCTGTCTTAATCACTCTCTCTTCACCTATTATTTGCCAACAGTTTCCTGTCATTCGCTCCAAATCCTACGTCAGGCGCTCGCCGAATTAAGCGGCAGAGAAGGGCTAAAAGCAATTTTTTAGGGCAGCGTAGAGAAATGTAGCCGTTCGAATTTCTCTAAAAATGCGAAGCGCTCCAGAGGGCAATTTTGAAAAGGCACCAAGGCACAACTTTCAAATTTGAGAAGGCACCAAGCGCACTTTTGTAAAAAGTAAGAAAACTCATAACAAATTAGCTACTATCACATCGTCTTGTTTTAATGTACAAAACAATATGCCGCGCCATGTAAGCTTACATCGCGTAACACCCGACCCTTGTACCCCCTCGCTAATGGAAGCTACCCACCGCCGTAACAATAATTTTATATGCACCGCTATCAGGACGTGAATAATTATCCGATGCTGTTATTGTTCCTCCTGCGACTATCGGTTTTAAGCTCATCATTGCAACTACAGCACCGCACGCGCACTGTTATGTTGATCGACTAAAAACGAAACTAGGGCAGTAGATTAAAGGGCACCGACGGCAATTACACAAAAGGCCAAGGCAGGTGACCTGCCGTCGGTCGAGTCTGGATTTTCAGGGGCCGAGTAACGACAATTGATAGCGCCACCCGACGCGCAATTGCTGTCGGTGCCCGTCGGTTTAACTTCGAGCCCGTCCCTACGTGCAACCATATACCGCCGGTGACATTGCTCTCCGCGACTCCACTGTGGCACCGCTTACACTAATATATTATTAGTGTACACATTAGGTAAGCGTGCAACAGTGGAGCCGCGAGAGCAATGGCGCCGGCAGCGTATATTGTTGCGACGTACGGATTTTACAAGAAACTGTCGGCAATAATAGGTAAAAGAAAGTTTATAGAAACATTAAGAATTTGGTAGTAAATAGATTTCGATTTTAGTTAGCATTATATTTTATTGAAACGCTTCAAGTGCCTGTGGCTGTAACGAGAGCAGCTCAGAGAGGTGTTGTGTGTGTGAGAGAGCGGCGAGAGCAGAGAGAGAAAGACGCGACGCGACGCAGGAGCTGGCCGTGTGTGTGTGTGAGAGAGAGAGAGAGAGAGCGAGCGAGAGAGGACGGATGAAAGGAGGATAGACGGCAGCAGAGCGTCCCGTTGCGCAATCATGCGTGTACGCGAGTCGCGCGATCACTGTGTGAGTGGATGTCAGGACGCGTAGCCTGGAGGCTAGGCGACCGCGGACCGGTTCCGGACGCGTAGCCACTGCGTAATAACATTGACACTCTTGATATTACTTGCTGTTACTTCTTCTAGGCAGTTTTCAATGCTACTGAGTACTGTTATATCGTAACGAACAAGCACCATGGCCAATTAGTCAAAATTCTACAATGTTATCCCACATAGCTATAACACTGAACTACTAGTAATTAAACAAATTCAACACAGCTTTCATGCCTGATTACCGTTGTTTTTCACTGAAGTAAACGTTTTGGTACCTCCCGCGCCATCTACTGGTAGTCTGACCGCTATGTTAGTATATATTATATATGTATTTCAACTGTATAAAGTGCAAAAAATCACAATGCTCTATATACATAGAGTTTAAAAATGTGATATTAAATTATTTTGTATTTAGATATTTAGGATATAATGTATAGCAACGATATTAGATAAATTATGAGAAGAAACTGTAAGATTGTTCACTTGTTTACGATCGGCAAATGGCTAACAATAATTTGAGAATGGGTGGGTTCTTAATTTAGTTCATTTTCTTCCATCGCTTATGTTTGTGATAGGTGTTTATAAATCGAGAAGTGACAACCACCAATTTAACAAAGGTATAACTTAGTTATTTGTTTCGCACCTCGGTGTGTGTGTTGTTACGTTACCGGTACGTGTTCAGGTTCTTATGATGCCTTTTTGAGTTTTTCTATGAGCGACTGAGTCGGGCAGTGCATCATTAATTATTATAAGTTTAACCTCATAATGATTAGTCGTCAAAGCCCGAGGGACTATGTCAAAGACGGGGATATACTAGAACTGCTATTTCTGGGAGCTGTAGTGTTGCTGTTTGTGTTTCATCGTTGCGGATGGTTTCATCCTAAATAAAATTAAAACTTGCACGCTCATTAATTGAAATGAGCTTTATGAGATTTGTCAACATTATCACATAAGGTGTTAGCCGGTAGAAGTTACCTACCTTCATTCTTCTCACTATGTGGTGAGAAGGTCACAACCTAACAATGCAATTGGGCATTGTAGCTAACAGCCTAACACAGTACTGCAACAAAACACATCGATACTAAATTTTGTAATTAGGGGCAGTAAGCAGCAGTTGCGCTGCCTAGTACAAGGGTCAGTTTGTTGCCTGCTCTCATGTAAGCAGCATATAGTTGCTGCCAAGGTATTCCTAATAAACCATAGTAAAAACATTAACAATTCTGCCTGGGTGAGTAAATTTGCTGTCTGTCCTTTCTCTTTGGTAGCAAGTAATGGCTGCCTGGTAAAAGGGTTAATTTCTTACCCTACAATATCTAACTAATCTAAATAATTATATAGTCATTTTCTCTGTGACAGGACTAACCCTCAGTGATCTTAATAAGATAACACATGTTTAGTCATAGAAATAAAGAGGCTCTACTGTTATCCTTGAATATTAATGAACATCCACTACAAGCGAACATCCACTACAAGCGAACATCCACTACAAGCGAACATCCACTACAAGCGAACATCTACTACAAGCAATTCACCTCTTAAAACACGCAGGTGAAAAATATTTGAAATTTTGGCAAATGTGTATAAAACTGCTACTAGTACTGGGTGTATCTAAACTAAAAATGTAGAGGGCGCTACAGATTACGTAATTTTTAAAAGTGCCTGATCAGTAACCCAGTCACAATTTAACTCGAAACGTCCGTGTGATTTCATCATGTAAGTGTTTGCACTAAATAAACGACAAAATTTGGCCAAGTTATCGTGATTTGAGTTGTGATTATACTCATATGCAGCAGTAAGGTCTTTATCTGATAATAGACAACAACATGGTATGCCAAGCTAGCAAGAATTTTCAGTGGTCTAAGTGCTGCGTTATGCCGTGTTTGCCCTATTGCAGAACACATTGTCAGACTTGACTGTGATGTTCTCTAACTCACTACATTTAACCAGGGGTAGAAACTTTTGAACAAGCGAGTCCAACTGACGCCCTACCCCCAAAAAGAGGGAGTCCGCAATCTGAAGTTCAAAACTAACTTATTAACAAAAGGGACATTTGCAGTGCACAATTCTGCAAAATTTTCTTGGGACATTTGCTAAAAGAAATACGGTAATTCTGCAAGGCTGTGATCTGGAACGAACTAGTTAGTATGGCAGAATTTTCAGGGAGTCACACGGACTCCTGCATATGTCAACTCAGGGAGTCCGACAGTAAATGGGGGAGTATTTGACTCTGGACTCGCGTTAATTTTGCACCCTGCCTGCATATTGTGAGTATAATAGAGAGGGCCATTACCGTAGATTTACTGCATATTTTCAATTTTAAAAACACCAGCTTAATTTTGTTGTTTGTTATTCACTATAATTGTCTCTTGTATTTTTTTTTAACTGTTGGTGATCGTTCGTCACAATGCTGCAAGTGATGCGACTACAGGTGGCGACGTGTGTTAGGGACGGCGTTGTAGGAGGAAGACGCGATGTGACACGATGCAGGAGCCAAATACAGGCGTGGCTGGCTGCTGGGTTTTAATTTACGCAGTGGCTATGCGTCCGGTCCTCCATTACAAAGCTCAGCACAGATTCCCAAATCCATGTCACGATTAGCCTAGGCCACGCCTCCTTTCAAATCGTCGATTTTACTGAATTTACTATTGTTGCGAAATCTAACTCGCGGGGCGGGGCGGGTTGCCGTCTCTATGTCTTTTTATATCGCACACGACTATCATTGCATACTTGAACACTCCAAATATATACATATCACTCAGGGCTTTATTTAATATTACAGCACTTCGTCTCGGTCACTCCTACTTTCCTGCGCGTCACACTCTCCTACAACCTTCTCCGTCAACCCTCCTTCCAATCTGCCTTTCCCTCTGTTGCATTCCCCGTGCCACTGTTCTGCTGTGTGAAACCCGAATTTACATACAAGGTACTAATTACGCATAAACATTTTAAGTCACCTCCCCTACTTGTCATCGCTCCCAGCCGGCGCGGCGATTCTCCGAGACCTTTTCTTACACACATACATGATCTACACGTTCACAGTCTACATATCATACATATATATTCATACAATTATACATTATGATATTTGTTTATACATGATATTTCCCAACACTCTCCCCCCCTTGACTCAACATTGAGTCAAGCCAATCATGCACGTAACTGTCTTAACTCACGTAAGCGCTATCGAACTTTTACTGCTGCTGCTTTTTTGGGCCTATCCCCTACTCTTCCTTCTTGCCTGTCTCTCTCACTTTTGCTTCTTACCTCTAATGGGTATAGTTTCTGCATCGGTCTACTAATTCTAACTGGTTTCCCCCCAGTAATCTGCCTTACTCTTGCTCCTCTACATTCCTTATCTTTTCCCGTTATTAAACTTTCTAACACAGCCATCTTTCAGCTGCCCCTCTTTTTATTCTCATCATACACTGTTAGTGTTACTACATTGCCTATATCTGTATGCTGTAGCCTCCTCGCATACCACACCTGTGGAATTCTCTTAACTCTGCTAAATATTTTTTCTGCCACTTCTTTCAAAAATGGACCAACTTTCTTATCAAATGTTTGAACCTTCTACTATGTAGCTAGTCTCTCCCTCTGTCCCATCGTCCGGGATAGACTTTAATGTCCTGTCATAGACAAGATGTGAGGGTGTTAATACCTCTTCTCCCGCCTCATCGTATTCGTATGTTAGCGGTCTAGAATTTAGCGTTCCTTCCATTTCAATTAATACTGTCAGCAAACTCATATGTCAATTTGGCATTGCCTATCAATTTTCTAAGACATCGTTTGACATTGCCTACTATCCTCTCAAAAAATCCACCCTACCAGGGTGCTCTCTCTAAGTTAAACTGCCAGGTAATTCTTCTTTCTTCCAAATCAGTCTGCACCCGTGGATGTGCATAAAGCTCCCTCAGCGCCTTATCTGCAGCCTGAAAGGTTTTCGTATTATCTGACACTATTAAGCTTGGTGTCCCCTTCCTGGCTGCGAACTTGCGCAAACACCGAATGAAGGCCGTTGCTGTCAAATCTTCTACTAAGTCTAGAAGTAGATTGCTCTTGCTACACAGCATGTATACAATACTATGTACACCTTTTCCATGTTTCCCATCTTTCCTTTTATATAAAGAGGTCCCGCAAAATCCACCCCTACTTTAGAAAATGCGGTGGCTTCCCTTACTCTACAGTCTACACTCGGGCAGTGGTGCCATTGGTGGTGTACTACAGGCTTTTCCCTCTAACCTTTTACATGTCACGCATTTCCCCACAACTCTCTTTACAATTTGTCAGCCCTTTGGTACCCAAAATTTCGATCTTACCTCTGCTAATGTTGCTCTTACACCACTATGATGCACTCTCTTGTGACAATGTCTAATAACCAGTTTAGTTAACTTGTGAGTTTTCGGTAAAATAACTGGGTATCTTGTCTCAATTTCCATATTTGAGTTGCCTAACCTACTTTGCAGTGCAAGATTCCTCTTTCCTCTACCAATCCTAACCTTTTTACGTGTTGCTTAAATTCACTCTGTTTCCTCAAGTCTGACTGTGCTGACTTGAACCACTCTTTCTCAGCCTTTACCAATTCTGTAACCTTTAACATTCCTGTCTGTCTTGCATCATTGTCATTCCTTGTCTTTATATTGAATATAAAGCACCTGACCCAGGCTGTCACTCTGTATAGCCTTTCTAGATTACTGTATCTGTCTAGGTCTATCACTGCGGCAATATCTTGTGGTTTATCTATTTCAACCACCATTGTTACACACTGTTTCTCTTCCTCAGCTACCTCCGGGTTTTTTACACCCTTTATCACTGGCCATCCCGACTATGACCCTACCAACCAATTGGGTTCCTGCCACCAGGATTTACTCTCTTTTAGGGTTTCAGCCGATGCCCCTCGGGAGCCTATGTCTGCCGGGTTTTCCTCTCCTTGACAGTACCCCCATTCCTCTTGGTTTGTCAGTCTTAGATATTTCCCAACAACTATTGCTTCAAAAGTTACAAAAGCACATTTTTTTGATAAATCCCTAAAGGTAAGTAATATGGTAAAAACTTATTGTTTATTGTTTTTTACTGAAAAAATATAGTTGGGTTGTTTGACCGTTCACATACGAAATATATGACCGGATGCGTAGCCTGGGAGCTGGGCATCCGGTAACTGGACGCGTAGCCACGGCCTTTAATTTATTGCTGGGTGCCTTGGAACTAGTCTGTTGCATGCCTAGATGTCATTGGCATAGAAGTGTGTTAATTCTCACCTTGCTTCTTCCACAATTGTTAGTTTTTTGTGTACATACTGAGACGAGTTGCCACATAGAGACTGACAGGAATCAACATTTGGTTGCAGGTTGTCAGACATGGTTACAGCCCGCTAGTCCGAAAGCCCACTAGTCCGAAAACCCACTAGTTCGAAAGCCCACTAGTCCGAAAACCCACAGGGGATGGGGTACCGATCTATACGATTAGTCAGCCAGCAGCAGCCGCAGCGAGCAGCTCGTAACACATGTACATGTTAACATGCTGGCGGAGGTATGGCACTCTCTGGTGAGTGGCCCTCTGTCTATTTTCTAAGTTATCAGATGTGATTACTGTGTGTTGTGTGTGTGTGTGTGTGTAGTGTGTGTGGTGTGTGTGTGTGTGTGTGTGCGTGCGTGCACGCGTGCGGCGTGTGTGTGCGTATCGCCAAATATACGGACTGTATGATAATAGTATATATATCTAATCATCTATCTACGATATATTGTTAATATATACATGTATAATATTATTATAAATCTATTTATGTAATATAGATTCTCGTAAGTAACACTCGTGATAATACGATATGCACTGAAAGCCAAAGAGGAAACAACTCAGTGTGATGCTCTACGCAATCAGGTCCGAAATTGGCTTCGAAATCCGGCATACACACCGGGTGAAGCGTGCAGCCGATCGGCATGCGGTTGGCAGGTTGCAGCGACGACGGCAACCAAAAGTCGGCAAGTGCTGCGCTATGGCTTGCAAGCTTGGCGATCGTGATGCGATTCGCATTGCAAACTGATTTTCTGCAACTAGTTGGCAAGTCGCAGGAGACGTCGCGTCGGCAGAGAAAGTTTGACATAAGCAGCCGGCCTGCGACTGTAAGCGACGGGTGCTCGCGACTGGAAAACTGTCCAGTTCGCAGCACAGTCGCAGCGAGTCCGGCACATGTTCTACCTCAGATGGCGTTTTTAAATATAATATTTGACATAGCCATAACGGCTAAAGCTGGCGGTCGATAAGTAAGATTGGGCGGTGTTTACGAGGGAGTGCGGGTCATACAAGGCGAGGTGTTTACGCGGCAGTCTACAATTTTTGGCGCAGCAGCAATCCAAATTGATCTAACACTACCTAGCCCCCGCAGCACACACCTTTCGCTACATCCTCCTAAACAAAAATTAAAATTTAAAAAAAAAATTTTAAATAAAATTAAAAAATTAAAAATTAAAATTAAAAATTAAAATTAAA